TAATTATTTGAGAAAGTCTATTCGTAACCGCGTCGCAATTATATTCTGCGTGCGAGGTAAATTTCCACTACTCTCATGGGAGCGTCCCGTTCACCTCGGCATGTTAAATAGATACATCTATGGTTCGTGTTCGACCCTCGGCAGTGCACAGTTTATATTTATATGTTGGTTCGTGCCGTTCGACCCTCGGCAGTGCGTAGTTTATCTTTATATGTTGGATGGGGCCGTACGATCTCGGCATGATTTGCGCATGATTGAATTGATTGCTTTGAAATTTATAATAAATGATATTGACTCATTAGCCTGAGATAAACTGTTAAAAGATGAGAAATGAATTTGGAGATTTCTTAATTATAGAAGACTTGTTTACTTACTTCAAAATAATGAGCTTACAACCGTTTTATATATAACTCATGTTTAGATCATATCATTGGCATTTTTTTTATAGCCCATAGTAAGTGTCGGAGTCAACCTCTCGTCACTACTTCTTCGAGGTTAGACGGGATACTTACTGGGTACGCATTGTTTTCGTACTCATGCTACACTTGCTATAGATTTTGTTGTACAGGCACATATATGTCTAGTGGCCTTGTGGGCGCAGCGGCGTGGTTGATACGAGGACTTAGGTGAGCTGCATCTTATGATACGATCCGCCGCCAGCAGAGTCTCCTTCACAGTATTATATTTTTCTCTCTTGTCTAATGTTATTTTCCGGACAGATGATGTATTTTATTTTATTCTTCCTAGTTGATGCTCATGCACTTGTGACACTGGGTTTTGGGGTGAGTATAGATTGTTCAGTGTTGGATATTGTTAAAAACATTATCATTTTACTCTGTAAATTATTTCTCATTATTTAATTGAAGGAAAATTTATGATTCCAAAATACTAAAATGAGAACCAAATTAAGTAATTATTGTTGCCTTGCCTGACAGCGATGTCCGACGCCATCACAACCCTTACTGGGTTTTGGGTCGTGACATATTTGTGCTAAAGTTTAACAACAGGAGCAACAAGGTAGAATGGTGGTACTGATGGTGGCTCTACCCCTACTCCTATTTAGGTTTGTCAACTTTTTCATTATGGTAATTCCATAAAAGTAGATATAACTCTGTAGGCTTGACTTCCCCTGAATTTATCAGATTTCTTTTGTTTGGATTGTACATATAAAGGTCACAACTCCATGTTGCATCGCTCCCATAACTGCACAGGTGTAACTGCCTTGATAGCCACGAGGTGCAATCTCTTCCACTTAGGTCAAGTAACTATTTTATCATATTAATTATTTAGGATACCCATAAGAAATAAGCTTTCTGGAGTGTTTTAACCTTTGCGCTGCTTAATTTTGACAGTTGTGATTGAAAATCTTGAAACTTTATTGAAACTGTAGTAAATTTGATAAAGTAATTCCTTTTCTAACAGTTGATATGTTGTTTGTATATACAATTTTAGACTCAAATAGATTATGTGCTTATTTGTCCTATTTTTAAGTCTATCGAATTATCAATATAAATGCTAACATCCTGCTACAAAATATCCATTTAGTTTCTTTTATTTCTTCAATGTAGAATGTTGAAGGGGAGCTGCATATGATTCCATTTAGTTTTTATTTTCTTTTTGGCAGATGAGGGGAGTTCTGACTCGCATTTTCTAACTTATATTTGCAGTGGCTCTATTGCATATTTCTCTATAATTGGATCGCTCTCAGCTTCTGTTCAGAAGCATCGCATTGTGATGTCATTGAAGGCTAAGCCTAAATGGAATGAGTCAGTAGTTTCATTTGTCGCAACAATGGTTGCCCATGGAATATCTAAATTTCATAAATAAGTTTTTGTCTATGGTTGGTTTACTACTTGTGATGAAATCCTGTGATTTTTCATTTGTTTTATGATGTATTCGTAAAGATGGAACTAGAGGTTGAGGACTGTGGTAGAGGAACTAAAAAAATGCTTTGCCTCTGGAGATTATTGATAAGGCCTTTGAGAAATTAAGAAATGATATTGCCATTGCTTTCGAGTACTCTTGTCTCTAGATTGGGATTTATAAGGTTCTGCTATTGATTATTTATTTGGCTCTATCAAGTTTATTTGTTTTACTTGCAAAGTATTGCTCCTTTTTCTTCTCCTACCCTACAAAGTGTACTAATTGAAAGATAGAGAGCAACACTCCTTTTTCCTTACAGGTAAATAAGCTAAAAGTTATGGGCTACATGTCACGTCCTTAGTCGTTAACTAAGTACACGTGCGGTACTTGACAACTCACTCACGATCTTGCACAACTTGTTCACGTTCTTGCTATGTCAAGTCAGCCTTACTACACTCAAGATTGCTAAGAGAATGGTAGAAAGAACACAAGAGAATTCTTAAAGGAAGCTTTTTATTAGAGAGAACTTGAATTGTTTGCTTGGTGAATTACAAATGAATGGCCCCCTTTATATACTAGTCTCCTAGGGGCTAGTGTGTCAATATTAATTGTTACACAAGTACCTTATTATTTACAAGTAAGTCCCTTCTTTAGAATTTTCTACATAGCTAGAATCTTCTAAGGACTTTCCTAGCAAATCTATAGGGATCTAGGATCTTCCTAAGGAAATGTCCATACTTCTCACAAATGCTAGCTTTCCTCCTACGTAAACTTCCACATGGCATTGATATATGCCAAATGGCGCTTATATGGCATGACGACATGGCGGATCATCACACTCTCCCCCATCTAATGTTGCAATGACTGCGGCGCAATGCTGCTGCATAAACTCTCGGAACTAATCTTTGAATTGCCATAAGTCTTCATATCGTTCCCACGTGGCCTCCTCCGGTGATTGCCCCTTCCAATGGACGAGGAACATAGTTGCGGCTTTTTGCCCTTGTTTTTGCCTGGCCTGGTAATCAATGATAGCTCACTCTTCCGATCATGCGAGGCAATGACAGTAATAGGCGCTTGACTTGATTGGCCCCTACTCAGATCATCCTTATCTTCATGATATGGCTTAAGCATGCTGGCATGGAAGACAGGGTAGATCTTAAGATACGATGGCATGTCAAGCTTGTATGAGATCTTGCCTACCTTGGCGACGATCTTAAATGGCCCCTCATACTTGTGAATCAAATTCTGATGCATGCCCCGTAGTGCCTTGAACTGTCTTGTGTTAAACTTCACCATGACCATATCCCCAACTCTATAGTCCGTGGGATGCCGCTTACGGTCCGCAAACTTCTTCATCTTCTTAAATGCCCTATCCAAGTAGGACTTAGCAGTGTCAAGCTCCTCCTCCCATCCTTTGGCCATATGATAAGCCCCAAAACTCTTTCCATCGAACGCGACTGGTAATGAATGTGGAGTTTGTGGTTATTGGCCTGTGGCTAGCTCAAATGGTGTTCACCCCGTGGACTCACTTCGCTGCAAGTTATAAGAGAATTGGGCAATGTCAAGGAGCCTTGCCCAATCTTTCTGATGTGCGCTTACATAATGCCTCAAGTAGCATTCTAGTAAGGCATTCACCCGTTCCGTTTGTCCATCCGTCTGTGGGTGGAAACTAGTGGAAAAGTGTAGTTCCGTCCCAAGTATGTCGAATAACTCTCTCCAAAAGTTCCCAGTGAAGCGGGGGTCTCGATCACTGATAATATGCCTTGGTAAGCCCAAATACTTCACCATGTTCTTAAAGAATAGCTTGGCGGCTTCCTTGGCTGTGTAACCTGGTGAGGCGGGCATGAAGGTGGCATATTTGGAAAATCTATCCACGACTACCATAATAGTACCATAACCGTCAGACTTCGGTAGGCAAGTGATAAAGTCCATAGTCACGCTCTCCCATGGACATTCTGCAACTGGTAGCGGCTCCAAAAGTCCTCCGGGATGTTGTTGCTCAACCTTGTCCCGCTGACATACGAGATAAGTCTGCACATAACATTCTATGTCATCTCGCATGCGTGGCCAATAGTAGACTGACTCAACCAAGGCCCTATTGCGACATTGACCTGGATGACCAGCCCACATTGTGTCATGACTCTCCCTTATGATACGCCGTCTAATGTCTCCAAACATAGGCACGTAGACCCGCCGACCCGTGGTAAGTAGTAGGCCATCTTCTACCCAAAAACGTCTCGTTTTGCCTTGGTTGTCTAACTCGATAAGTTGTTTGGCTGATGGATCATGTTGCACGCCTTCTTTTGTAGCTTCACGAATGTACCAACTTGCTGAAGTGATGGCAGCAAGTTCGGCTTTCCGGCTCAAAGCATCGGCTATAACGTTACCTTTGCCCGGCTTGTACTCCAGCACATAATCAAACTCGGCTAAGAAATCCTGCCACCTAGCCTGTTTTGGTGAGCTTCTTCTGCGTCTGAAAGTAGTTAGTAACCACATTGTCAGTCTTGACCACAAACCTCGACCAGAGTAAATAATGTCTTCATGTACGAAGGCAATGCACAAGGACAGTCATCTCCTTCTCTTGCACCGTGTAACGCCGCTCCGTCTTATTTAACTTGCGGCTCTCAAATGCTATGGGATGCTTATCTTGCATCAGGACACCCCCAATGGCAATGTCAGAGGCATTTGTGTGCACCTCAAATGTCTTGGCAAAGTCAGGTAACGCCAAGGCTGGCTCCTTTATGACATCTGCCTTAAGGCCTTCAAACGCCTTTTGACAATGCTCTGTCCAAAAACCCATGGCTTGTTCTTCTTTAGCAACTCAGTCAATGGTGCGGCCTTTGCTGAGTAGCCACTGATGAACCGAAGATAGTAGTTAACAAGGCCAAGGAAGGATCTCAACTCAGTTACCTTTATAGGTGCCTCCCATTCTTGGATAGCACGTACCTCAGCCTCGTCCATGCGTAGCTCGCCATTTCTAATGACATGGCCCAAGAAGTGCACCTTTGATTGTGCAAACTCGCACTTCTCACTCTTGATGTATAGCTCATTCTCCCGCAAGACTTGGAAAACCTTCCTTAAGTTCTCCATATGTTCCTCTAAGGTGTTACTATAGATGACTATGTCATCTAGGTAGACTACCACGAATGATCAAGGTAGGGATGAAAAATCTTGTTCATAAGGGTGCAAAATATGGCCGGTGCATTGGTTAAGCCGAAGGTCATCACCAACCACTCAAAGGCTCCATATATCGTCACACATGCTATCTTTGGCTCATCCCCTTCCGCAATGCGACCCTGGTAGTAGCCCTCGCGAAGATCCACCTTGGTAAAGTACTTGGCTTGCCCAAGTCTATCGAACAAGTCAACAATGAGCGGGATCGGGTACTTATTCTTCACTGTGACCTTATTAAGTGCTCGGTAGTCTATGCACAAGCACAACGATCCATCCTTCTTCTTCTGGAACAATACCGGTGCGCCGAAAGGTGCCTTTGATGGGCAAATGTGACCAGCATCCAACAACTCTTTCAATTGTTTCCTGAGCTCCTCTATCTCGTGCGGTGCCATATGATATGGGGCGAATGTGGGTGGCTTAGCCCCTGGCTCAAACTCAATCTACTGATCCACCTCTCGCCTAGGCGGCAAGTTCTTAGGCAACTACTCGGGCATGACATCTTTATATTTCTCAAGCAACTCCTCTATGCAAGGTGGCAGCGTCTCTTGAAAACTCTTGTCTTCCTCTAGACTTGCAATGATTGCCACGAACGTTGACTCCCCCTTCTTGATCCCCTTGACAACCTTCGTAACTGAGAGTTGTGCTTGGATCTGTTCGTGTGGCAAAGTCACTGTAGGTACCATGCAAGCTCCTTCCCGTTCCATAACCAAGAGACATTAGAGGTAGGGGTCGATCAAAGTATGACAATGTCTAAAGAACTCTTGCCCCAGTATGATGTCAAAGATATCCATAGCGGTTATGGTAAAGTTTGTCATACCTTTGCAAGTTCCCAATTTGACACCAACTCCATAGCTACCCCACTAGCATTTTGTAACTCAACATTCACGGTCTTAACGGGGGAGTTGGTTGGAGCAAGCTTCAATCCTAGTCTCTTTGCAGCAACCCCAGTCACGAAATTATGAGTTGCTCCAGTATCCACCATTGCACGAGCGGACTTGTTATTGTGTTATGCCCCGCAATATTACATCGATATTTCATCCTGCAGTATTATATTACGATGATGTTACGCCTTGCAGTATTACATTACGATGATGTTACACTTTGCAGTATTAAATTACGATGATGTTGCACCCTGTAGTATTGTACATTGAATTTGTCGTAAGGTAATTGACATCAGTCCAAGGAAAATATTATTTGGATATTATAAGGATTATGCTATTTCAAATAAGTGATGAGTAAATTCGTGAAGGTGAGAGAGGAAGCAAGTCAAGGAAATTGAATTTTCGTCCAAGTTTGGCATGTTGAGATAAAATACGGGCCGAGCAATAATACCCGATATTTATGGACTAGTACCATACAAGGTACCATATGACCATATTAGTATGATGTATAAAGTGTATCAAAAATAAGTAGAATTTTAAGTAATTTGAGATAATTCTTAATTATGCGGATAATTGATTAATTACCGGGTAGCGGGATATCACCTAGTTAATTAATTAATTATTTGTTGGATAAAATTAAACCACCATGTGGCAGCAAGCCACTACCTATACATATGACTCTTAGTCATTATAGGGTATGTGGCAAACTAATTTGTTAAATACAAGCACTGCATGTTTCTACGTGTAAAGACATAGAAGTTGGCTTTTTGACATCATTCTAAGGTGTTAAATACAAAACTCTGCACGACACACGTAGTTTCGAGGGCATGAATTAGATTTTGATTACTTGAAATAGGAACTGAACTAACGGAGAATCATTTCGTACTTATTGGAATATCTGTCATAAATATCAAGATTTTTTCTTTAAAACTCATACTAAGACCTTTTCTTTTAACTTCCCTTTGTAAGCTTCGACTGTCTTTAGTATATTGAGTATTGGAAGTATTCTTTTTTCAATTGGATGTCCCCATAAGGGACAGTCTTGAATGTATTTGACAGACGTTAAAATTATATAAAGAGGAATTCATAACACCTTCAACCAATTCCTACAAGGATTCCAACGATAGCAACCTCAATCCAACGAGATTTCTTATCACCTTAGCAACGTGAGATTTTGCGATTCTAAGGGCGTACGGTGCAATCTTTCTAAAGAATATCATACGGATTTTCCCTACTCCAAGTATGTTAAGACTAAGCCCTTACTTCATTTTGCATGATCCCAGTAATTACACAAGTTTGATAACGAGGCATAAAGAAAAATTCATGTCCCGGAATTTACGTATATTTTCCTAGTTTTGTAAGTTACAATATTCTCCTTATCGGGACTTCATATTCAATTGAGTATTTCCTTCTTCCAGTCAAGAGAGCAGAGATTTTATATATACAGTATTAGAGTATTTTCATTACCATCGAGCTATAATCGATGGGCAGGCCCCTATTGGGCAACCTCTGATCAGATGGTAAGTTATATACCGAGCCTACTGTGGCTGAGCGCCTATGAGCGAGCCCAATTGGTCGAGATACAGAGCCTAGTATGGCCGAGCGCGTATGAGCGAGCCTATTACGGCAGAGCAGTTATATATAAATACCGAGCCTTATAGGGCCGGACAGCTATTTTACTCACTATATTGAGAGAGTTGAGTCAGTATCAGCAGATGATCATATCTTCAGATTTTCTTTGACTCCCAGTTACTTTCAATTATTATATTATCAGTTCAGTTTCAACTTTCAGTATATTGCCTTACATACTCGGTACATTATTTCGTACTGACGTCCCTTTTTGGGGGCGCTATATTTCATGCGTGCAGGTTTAGACAGACAAACGGGTAGACCTCCTCAGTAGGTGTTGCCCGAGTTCAGCTTTATCGGTAAGCTCCCCATCTTTCGGAGTTGCCGGGTCTAGAAGTTTGATGTACATCTTGTGCATATATGTAGATAGGTTAAGGGTAGGTCGGGGCCTTGTTCCAATCACAGTACATCTATCAGTAGAGGCTTGTAGACATATCATGTCAGTTAGTGCAGTATGTTGGGCTTGTAGGCCCTGTACTTATATTTTGTTGGCTTGTCAGTTGTAGTAATTATGATGGCCTTGCCGGCCCAGCTTTATGTTGACATTTAGTCAGCGTTAGTCTCTATTCACTTTTACATTTTGCATCGCACATTATCTTGAGGTGTGGCCCATGTCCAAAGTATTACATTACATGTTCAGAGTCTCTTAGTCGCAAGTGATACGCAAGGATAGGTGAGGCACTGGGTGCCGGTCTCGCCCCCAGGCTCGGGGCATGACAAAAGTGGTATCAGAGCAGTTTTGTCCTAGGGAGTCTACAAGCCGTGTCTAGTAGAGTCTTGTTTATGCGTGTGTTATGCACCACACTTATAAGCAGGAGGCTACAAGGTATTTAGGACTGTCACTCCTTCTTCTTACTCTAGATCGCGTGGTAGAGCTCAGTTGTAAGAACACAATTTCCTAATCTCGACCTTATTGATAATACGACGATGCCTATATTAAGAAAGATGGTTGGTAAGGGATTAAATGCGGTTGTGAAAGAGTTGAGTCAGAAGAACCCGGTGAGCTTCTGAAAAGGAGCCTTAAGGCAAGAATATCTATCCACCTTTATGGTGAAAGACAATGAGAGATTCAGAAGGTAAATACAAGTTTCAACAAGTGAAGGAAGCAAGGTGAAAAAGGGTACGAGGTATCCAGCTAATGAAGATTATCCTTATTTACCATTCAGGAAGAGAGATATAAGCATTTTGAGTTACCTTCAACAGTAATAGGGGTGTGTACAATTGGCCACACCGATCTAAGTTATGCTCTATGGGAGCTAACAAATATGATTCAAGAGAAGGACATAAAATCACGATCCGACTGGGGTTAGAGTAACCCAAAATGATGGGTGAATTGTTTGAGTTAGTTGACATTTCCAAAGGATATTACAAAGGTGCTAATAGACCTCTTTATGAAACACCCAGATGGTGCACTCTAGAATATTACAATTAGATGTGAATACTAGCATGATCAAGAAAATTCAGAAGATAGGCACTGAAAGTCTGGAAGGGATAAATACTACCTTATTGTGGCTCACGTCCCCAGTAGAACGAAAACGTTGAGCAAACTGAAGAGCCAATGAATGAAGCAAGGGGAGCTAAAATCAAAAGAATGTCTTGTTGAAGTTTCAAAAGAAAGGGATAGGCAGGAATATTAGCAGGGAAATAAGAAGAGAGACAAGGAAGCATTATGAGTAAGATGTGATACATGGATGACAACAGTAGATCAAAAAGATGATAGTATTACAGAGTCTATAGTCAAGTGAAGGAAAATACGAGAGGTGACAGGTCTTGAGGCCACAAAAGAATATAGGTCATAAAGTCACATCTTCATTTCGAAAAATAAGTTCGCAACTCTAGAGCGTTTACCAAAAGGAAAAGTTAGACCCCAGAGTGATAGAAACCAGTATGGATTGGTGAACAAGATAACCTAAACATGAATTAGGGACAGGGTAATTTGATAATAGTCGGCATCATGAGAATTTTAGATTTCGTTCCGGCAATAAAAGAATGGACAATAGAAGAAGATTCATGACAAATTCAGAGAACGGTCATTCAGGCAGACGCTTCCCTAAAGCAAGCAAAGTGGGCAAAGTTAAGCTTAGAGAACTGGGTGTGCCAGCTACACTAGGCGTCGCCCTCGTAAGTAAGGAATTTTGTTATCCTTGGTACAGAAGGATTACCGCAATGTGAGTAAAGGCCATCGATGATGTGAAAAGACGCCAAAGATGAAGAGGTAAAACATCTATAGTTAGATCGTCGTAGTTCTAGCACTCCCCTAAAGGGGGGAATATGGAGTAATGTGGCATTACGTCAGAATTAAGCGGTTCTAGTAATTATGGAATGGTAAAGGAAGAATGCGACAAAAAAAAATGAATGAAAAAGGGATGAGATTGCACTTATTCAAAGCCTATACATATGCTATGATTCCAGAACCTTAGGTAAACACGACGTCAAGGAAAGGAAGTAAAGGTTCCTGCCCCAGATGTTATTGATAAATAAGGAGCCAGTACGAGACGTAAGTTAAGACAAAGGAAATAACCCAAGAAATATTATGCGGAATATTGATATGATAGTGGGCCAACGATTAGTTAGTAGTTGATTCAGGAAGAGCCTAGTTATGGCTAGATAAGAGGATACAGACAAATCAATAGATCGTGCAAGATAAACGGAGTGAACCCTAATATGGGGAATTCAGTCTCGCAGATATGACATCGTGATCTTAAGAAATATTCAGACAGGAGTTGGGGTAGTTAAAGATACCGTACGAGTGTTAAGGGAAGACAGTCCAAACTTCAGTTCAGGAGCAACTGTACAAGCATATAAGTATGGAGGTAAGTAACCAAGGAATTTTATATGTGAGTACGAACATCAACAATCCTGTCGAGTATACGATGTAATAA